GAAAAATTAAAAACAAATAAAAAATATAAAAAATTAAAAAAAAAATGAAAATAATAAAAAGTTTAAGAAATATTAAAAAATAATAAAAAATATATAAAAAATATAAAGAAATAAATATTAAAAAATAATTTAAATAATAATAAAAAAATAAAAAAAACTAAAATAAAAGAGTTGATAAAAATTACTTTTAAAGGGGCAAGCGTTCTTTTAGTCCTTTTATTAGACTGTGATCTTTTTCAATGTATTTTATAGCTTCCCTCCATAAGAAGACACCCTTCTGGTCACTGGTATAGAACCTTTGTTTTATTCATTTCAATTGAAATTCTGCCCATATTTGTTTTTATAGAGACGTCGGAAATGACAAACACCTTATAAATGTCGTCGTGTATCTACCTGACTTCCACTTGACTCCACACAGCACAACTCTTATCTAAGAAAAATAAAGCTCACACAAAGTGTGTTCTTATCTAATTAACTAATTGTTATAAATAAAATTACAAAAGAAGATATAAACAGAGAAAAATATGTTTTTGATTTCAAAAATATTTGAAAATGAATTGTGGATTTTTCTATATTTTATTGCCTATCTCCGAACTTGAAAATTTGTTAATAATATTACGATGTACGAAATTTGGACCAACTTGGATACTTTTACGGTTATTTCGATGAGGCACGTTTTGGCTGTATTAAAAGATATATTCCCTCTCTCTCTCTGAGGGTATAACTAAGACCCTCTCCAATACAAGTTTTCTTCTGTCAGTGTACAATGAAATAAATTTTTAGACGTCCAAAGATAAAAAATTAGTTGATAACGAATTTAATATTGTTTAAAAGAACTGCAGCTACAGTCAATATCTCATTTCAAATATTTCGAAGTTGCATTCATTTTTTTAAACGACCTTTTCAAGGTAAAGCGTTGCGCATTCATTTATTACCACTAATTGAATTTAAAATAGATTAGATATTGAAAAGAGCACACGACATTCCAGATTATTTTCAATAGAATATTCCATTGAAATTTAGTCTGGACTTGCATTTTTATACAAAAAACGTATAAGGACTAGGATAAAAAGTATAAGGCCATACTTTATGTGAATTTATGCAAAATTCTACCACAAAGCGCCACTTTAGAAGATGACATCAAAATATTTATTTGAATGTTGCCAAATGTTGTTTAAGGGTCAGTCTTGGTGAGTAGGCGTGTGATGTGGCTAGTTTTCGGAAATTCGTACTAAAAAAGAAAGAAAAGTACTAAAATGTGCTAAAAATTGAATATGGATAAACGAGAATCCCTGCTGGAGTAGGCTAATGTACCAAAGGGTTTTTGAAAATTCTAACTTTAAAGTTGTGAAAAGTTCTTAAATGGCACAAAACTTGAAACATGCTACTATGGATAGAGCTACGGATAGAGCTAAAAACTTTAGAAATTTTGGTATGAGAATAAGGTTGGAAAGTAAGTTTGACATATAAAGACGATTTAGTAATGTGTACTAAGTGTACGAACTGTCCCAAATGATACTAGACTGCAATCAGACGGTGACGGAGGAATTTGCTGGTGGTAGTTTTGTGATAAAGAGGTGGTCTAGTACTGTGTGAACAACAGATAGTGCTCAAATTGGGTATGAGGGTTGCTGTTCATGTGTGTGACATATGAAAATGGCTTAGAAAAAGTGTGCTATAATTGTACGAAAAGTACTGAATTTTACTATATTTGGTATTGGGTAAGAGGAGGAAAGATAAAATCCTGAAAATTGATATTTACATTACTGACGGTACCTGCCTTTGAAATTTGACGATGGTATGGAAATGTGTTCTGTATTTGTACAAAATTTACTAAATGGTACTAAATTTGGGATTAGGTGAAGGAAGAGAGCTCCGGAGTCCTAAAATATGATATTGAGGTCGCTGTTGGTATCTAAAATTGAGATGTAGAGATCGTTTTGGGAATGTATACTACAATAAATTTGGGATTAAGTAAAGGAGTAGACCTTCTAAGTGCTGAAATTGTATACTGAGGCCTCTGTTGCTATTTGGAATTGAGATATGGCGCGGGTTTGGAAATATGTACTATAATTGTACGAAAAGTACTTACTGGTACTAAATTCGCTCCTAGTTGAAGGAATAGAGACATAATTGTGTTTAAGATTTGGTGGAGGTTTGGTAATGAGTTTTCTGTTTATATCTGGATTTGAGGTATGAAGGTGGTTTTGGAAATCTTTACTAGAATTATACGAAAAGTATTAAATAGTACTAATATTGGTATCGAGTGAATGTATAGAGCTGCAATCCCGAAATTTGATATTGAGGTCCTTGTTGGTATCTGGATATGGTTCTCCAAATGTCAACATTAATTGTTCAAATTAGTACCATTTAGTACTAATTTCGGATCACTGTTGCTGTTGACGAAGTAAATGTTACAAAATTTGGTATTGCTTGAAGGCATAGAGCTTAAATCCGTTAAAGGTAAACATTTTCCTATTATTCTTTCCGAAAAGGAAAAAACTCGATTTATATAAAAAAAAACTTGAAAGTCTTAAAATTTAGTACTATGTATGAAGTTCGGATTAAAAATGTTTGTCAAAATGAACAAATTGTGAGTTTTGACTACTTAAAAGACCCAATAATTTGCCAAAAAGACAACATATGTCTTAGTGTTAAAAATAGTTTTGAAAGTTTACATTCGAATGGAAAAGATCGGTCCTTTTTTCATTGTTTAATATATTTTTTATAATATTCCTTACAATATTATGTATTTGGCAATATTACTGGAAAAATTCCGGGGAAAAAACATTAAAAAACTCCGCGAACATGTGATCGCATTTGATCAAAATATGCTACAAAATCTAAGTCTATAAAAGAAATTATATTAAATAGTTTTCAGGCAAGTATTTTTAAGCCAAAACTGGCAAAATATCTATTATTATTATGTACTAAAAACAAAAACTATATATTCAAAAAAACCGCATTCAAATATATAGCACTAAATATCCTTTAAATAAAATATTTTCAATAATTATTTCCAAATATGTAAATGTACGATCTAATTATTTTATAGACCCAAGAAATCTCAAAATTTAAAAAAAAATTAATTATTTATTATTTAAATTATTTAAATAAAAACATAAAATCATATGAAATATTGTAGATATGGCATACAGATCAAGGGTGTTTTTAATAGAAACATACAAATATAGTGGAGCCCTTAAATTTTGATTTTGAAATACGATAAGAATCGATTTGAGTTTTTTATGTTTTTTGGCATTCGTAAAAAGTATTGGATGCCGTGCATTCAGCTACCAACAAACTTATATTACCAGCCCTCTCGAAGCTGGGTTTTTGTTTGCAGGCGGCCGATTAGACCTGGTGATTAACATATCATCAAAAAAATCAACAATTTTTATTTTATCTTTTTTTTTCTATTTGTATTTGAGTTTATAAAATTAAAAATCCTTGATCTATTTTACCATTCTATCGACAACGTAAGTAGATATGTAGATATGTAGATATTTCTTAATGAAAAAATTACCAGTTTTTTTTTGTTTTCTTTATGTAAAAAATTCTTCAAAATTTTTTTGAAAATTTTGGTTATGGAATTTGGGACAATGGAAGACCAAGTTAATGGATAGTAATTGAGGAAAATTATTTAAAACATTATTTTGTTTTGTATTTTTGGAGGATGTTCTTTGGATTTCAATTTTAAGTCAAATGTTGTAAATTATCCAAGAAAACTCAAATCAGTTTTCAAGTGATTTAATTTTGGTGCATTCATTAACTGGTAATTATTTTTATTTTCATAGATTTTTCACATTTCCGTATGTTTTTGCCTAATTTTCAATTCAGTTTCACGAGATTTTTTTGGTTAATAATTTCTCTGTTTTGATTTAGATTTTGTTGGATTTTATTTTTATTTTTTAACTTTTTCACAACAGGTATTTTATTCAAATGTTGGATTTTGTATTTTTGTGAATTTTTTTTTTTTTTTTTGTGAATATTTCATCTGAAAATTTTGTTTATATTTTTCAGAATTTAGTATATTGATTTTTTTCGGATCTCTACCCTTGTTAACTTTCCCATTGCAGGTAATTTGAAAATTTTAGATTATGTTTTCAATATTTTATTTTGCAAAATATTGTATTTTCTTTCACTTTTATTTTCAATGTTGTATTTTTTGTTAATTTTTTATTTCTTTTCAATAACTCACTTTTACAATTTTAATATTATATTTTTTATTAATTTTAATTTTTTATTCTTTTTTACTGTTTTATTTTTTTTTTAATTCTTTAGGGTTATTTCATATAATTTTGAGATTATTTATTATAAAAGTTCTCATTGTGTGTATATATACCGTTTCAATATTATTTTGTGTAAAAAATACAGCGCTGAGTTTTGTTAAAGCATTTGGATACAATTTGTTGTTGTTTTTCTTTTTTAATTTTAAAAAATATTTTTTATATATTTTTTAATTATAATATATATATTTTTGTTATAGCATATATATCAGTAATAATATATATATATATATATATATATTTTTAATATTTTTTTAATCCATTTATTTTATTATATTTTTTTTTTTTGGTTTGTTCACATAACATTCGATTTAAGATTTGATTATTCCTCCTTTTTTATTTCTTCATTTACTCATTTTATATAATTTTTGCCTGACGATTTTGCAACAACAAAATTTTTAATAATTTCATATTTTTTATACCATTTTGTGCGTTTTTTTTTTATTTATTATTCCAATTATTCTCCATAATTTTGTTTATTTTTTAAATATTTGCACTGGGGTTTTATAACACTTCATATAACAATTAACACCTTTAAGATCTCTTTGTTTGCTGAGTATGGTTCTCACACCACTCATTTGTTATTGAAACTCTCTTTTTACAGCTGAGTTTGATTCTGGAAGATCGATCAATTTATTACGTTTATAACAGTTATTTAGATCTTTCTTTCATAAAACAGTAATTTTGTTTTAATTGGTATAATTTATTTACCGTATCATATAACACTTTATTATACTCTCTCAACCTCAATCTCTCTCTCTATCTCATACTGAGTGGTGACTCTTTGCTGTTCTCATTAACAAATGGCTTTATCTAAAGCAGAGCTTCTGGTTTAGATTTCGTTGCAACATTTAAAACAAATGGGGGATTTTTAACATTTTATAAATATGTTTTTTTTTTTAAATTTTTATAAAAATTATCACGCCAATATTGTCTCCTTTTTTGTTATCATATAATTTTTCTGATTTTCTTTTTTTAATAACACGCCATTCGCATTTTATACTTTTATTTCCAATTTAATAATTTTCATTTTTTTATTTTTCTTAAATATTCTCCGTAGTTTTATTTGATTCACAATATATATGTATTCCCCGAACAAAACGCATAAGAACGACGAAACACAATGGCGAAGAAGCAAGAAAATTGACTACGACGGCAAAATCGTTTTCCATTCACGGCCACTAATCAGACGAAAGAACGAACCCCTCTCTCTGTTTTATGAAGGGATGATGATTACACTATTTATTGTATTTTCATATCAGAACACTTGCTTCTTTTCCAAAACAATTATTGAAAATTATTGTGCGATTGAAAACACTTGTGCAAAAATGAAAAACTAATAAAGAAAACTTAAAATGAAATGAAAATTCACGAAGTAACAAAACACGCGACTAAGACGTTTGACACCGCATTATTTTCACAAAACATTTTTACAGTCAGACACGTTCAAGGAGACTAAAACACCAATCCAATTTCGTTGAGGAAAATTCACTTGCCGAGCGAGAGAGAGAGCATAATACTGTCTGAGAGACTTGATTGCTCAAACAAAAACAAACGCGTATGGCAAATGGCAGACCAACAACAGTGCAATAACAGAAAACACCAACAGGCACATTCGGGGAGACATAGACAAGCATTGGGTGTTGTGCTCACGCACACACACGCACTTCATACAGTGTTTGGTGTTCGCCTGAATGCAACATAAATATAGGAAATTTCAATTGAAAGGACTATAGAAGACATGGCAAAGGTTTTTAATCATAAGAAAGGCTGTTGAAATTTTTTCAATTTATTAAAGACCAGTTAAAAGTCTTCTATCTACAGAATACATCTCTATAGAATCTATTTCTGCCAGAAATTGCTAAATATCTTAAAGCCTCAGAACACTTGGTAAAAGGTCTCCCAAATGTTCATCCCAAATATAGGGATCGAGTTTGGAGATGGGCAATATGGGTCCACTCCTTCTGGTACCTCCTCCACAAAATGTCAACATTTTCAAAAACAAAAAAAAAAAACAGTAAAGAAAGTCTTAAAGTCGGGCGGGGCCGACTTTATGATACCCTGCACCACTTTGCTAATTTAGTAGAGCTTCGCATAACAGTTAAAAGTTTTATGGGAGAATTCAATCATACACTCTATGAATATAAATATAATTTAAAGTTCAAAGGACTAAATACGCCGAAGCATTTGTATCTTTCAAATTCGGACTTATGTTTCCCATTTGGTGCAAAATTAATTTGAAATCGGATCAAGATATATATGGGAGCTATATCCAAATCGGAACCGATCTTGATAAGATTTGGCAGGGATATTTCTGAGCTGTATTTGATATATTTCCCTGAATATCGTTGTTACGGAGTGCATATTACGGCTGTGAGTAACAAATACAACAAATCGGATGGACAATATATATGGAAGCTATAGCTATATCTGAACCGATCTTCACCAAATTTGACATACTAGCTTCTGGACTCAATTCGGTCGTAAGTGCCAAATTCCATCCCATTTGGACAAATATTAGACGTTTGGTGCACAAAGGTAAATCGGACGAAGCTATGTCCAAATCTGAACCGATCTCGATAAAATTTAGCAAATGTATTTCTGAGCTGTATTGATTGATATATTTTCTATATATATATTGATATATTTTCTCAAATATTGTTGTTACAGAGTGCATATTACGGCTCCGATTCCATTCCAGACTTGGTACATCTCAATATTTTTATCAACACAAGATCTGTTGTAAAGATGGTAGAGATCGAGTCATTCCTTCTGGTACCTCCCACACAAAGTAAAGGAAGTAACCAATGTAGTCCAAACCTGGCACGCAATATTTACATCATATTTATTTAGGGCAGATACAAAATGAATAATATTGATCCGTTTCTTCGGAACCTACTCCATAGAGGGTCAAGAATTTGAATAATCATAACAGAAGGCAAAATATATTTAACATTATGAATAATCCTAACGCAAGTCAAAATTAATTTTTTTGAACGGACATGGGTTGAGGGAATACAAGTTTCGGCAACACCGACTAATAAAATAAGGTTCTACCTTCCTTCCCTGCCATAAATTAAAAATTTAAAATATTTTTCTATATTTTATTTTAAATTATTTAAAAAATCCCTACATTTTTATTTCCAGGTATTTAAATCCCACCTTTTTTAAATCCTTGTTTTAGAAATCTTTATAATAAAACATATTTGCTGACACAACTAAAAAAAAGAGTTATCTTTAATGTAATTTATAATATTTTTCTAAATTTTTATTTCAAGTTATTAAAAAAAAAAAAACTTTATTTTTCTTTATTTTAACATCTTTAATTTCTATGTATTTTAAACTCCTTCCCTTTTTTAAAAATTCTTGATTTTAAAATATGTATATCTTTCATACACCTAAAAAAGAGTTATCTTTAATGCAACATGCAAATAACCGGCACTGTGTTAAACACCCCCCTAATTTCCACCCAAAAATTACACTCACCACCTTACTGCTTTTATCAACCACAATACGCACTCCCTCCCCCAAAAGCAACAAAGAATTTAACATAAACTCACAATTCCTCATACACGACTGAAACAAAGAGAGCAACCGAATGACAATAACATTTACCGCCCCTTTTTCTTCGTCAATTGGTCTGCTTAAACATGTATTTCTTATTGTTGCCATTCTCTCTCATGCGTTCGTCGGGTATTCATTGCACTAACAAACACCAACAATTGTAGTTGTTTGTACTAAACGAGAGAGAGTGTCGAATACCCGTATAATTCCATTCGATAACAACTTTTGATATTTGATGGTGGTCTTCGTTAAACGAAACCAAACGGAGAGGAGAGTGGTAATTGTATAGAGAAGTCCCTGTGTGTAGTGAGTGCATACCACACTACGTCGGCATGAGGGATGTGAATTTTATTTAATTTTTCTGTTGATGTTCTTTGTGCCTGTTATTCCTACCCTCATTCTCTCCCTCTGTGTTGGTCGCTCTTTTGTTGTCATCGGGCAATTGGAATGTTTGAGTGCACAGTAGTTGCTTTTGTTTTTGGTTTCTGGATATTTGGTTTTAAGTTGGCACTTTTGTAAAACATCCTGTAGGGTTTCACAAAAAAATTAAAAGGGGTTTCAGGAGAGAGCAATCGTACTTCCGATACCTACGGTTAATACCCATTTCAAAAGTCTTTTGGCTCTTCGCCAAAAAGGAAGTTCGTTGGAACATTTTTATGGAGATATGAAAAATTAAAAATTAACTACAATTAACACTATTGATCCAAAAAAAAAATAACATCAAGAATTTGATAAAAAAAAATAAGAATTTTTTATACCCTACGTCCTAAATGTTGGGATTATTATAGGTTTAATTGGGTCAAAAAGTTTGTAAATCCTAGACATTTTTCTCCTGAGCATAGGATATTGTATATACAGGATGAGATGAAAAAAACTGCAACCAACTTCAGACTGCTGTCATTTCTAAGCCACTCGTCCGACAGCTGTTAAAATTATTCCAGTGACAGCTCATTATATTGTTTACAAGCGTACAAAAACATTTTGGTGAGAATTTTCCAGAAAAAAAAAACTTATTTGTGATGGAATTCAAGCGGGATAGTGTGATTTCTTTAAATTTTGGCTGGAAAGCCACAAGTGGCTATCGTTAGAGCACTCCAGCATTCAAATTTGAATAAATCTTTGAATAAATTGTGTCTCGTACCATCGCTCGTTACCGTGATACTGGTAGCGTAGCCCGACGTCAAGTAAGTGGGCGGAAGAAAACAGCAACATCAGCAGAAAAGGATCGAAAAATAAAAAAGCGACTTGGGCGAAACCCGCGTTGCAGTGGCCGGAAAATGGCTCGTGAGCTGAACATATCGCAATATTCCATTCGGCAAATATTGAAAAATGAGCTCGGGGAAAAGCCGTTGAAATTCCAAAAAGAGCAAGAACTCACACCGAAAAAGAAAGAAAATAGACTCAAATGAGATAAAGAGTTGCTTCGCTTGGCTGAAAGTGGTGAAGTGCCGAATTTGGTTTTCTCCGATGAAAAAACAATCGTTGTCCAGCAGTTTGAAAACAAATAAAATGATCATTTTTACTTGCCAAAGAGGTCAGCTGAAAATGTGCACCCTCGGTTGGCCACTATAACTCAAGCGCCGGCCATGTTGGTGGTGTGGGCCGTCATCACAGCCGATGGTCGCTCTCCGCTCGTACTAATCGGCCGTGGAATCAGAATAAATACCGAATATTATTGCGAAAAAATTCTGGAGTTTGTATAAAAGCCTCGGGCACGCAAACATTTTGGCCGCAGACCTTGGACATTCCAACAGGACTCAGCACGCGTCACCCAAGAATGGTTACAAAATGAGGTTCCTCGCTTCATTTGCAGCGCACAATGGCCACCAAAATCTCCGGATACCAATCCGTTGGACTATTGTGTCTGGAGTATTTTGGAAAGTAAGGTTGGCACTAGAAAATACCAAAGTGTTGATCAAGCGCTTCGCCGGGAATGGGCCGCAGAGCAACATTCGGGCAGCGTGTGACGGTTTCATTGGCCGTTTGAAGGCCATAATTCATGCCAAAAGTGACCAATTCGAACAAATCTAGACTTATTCTAAAATTTGATGCTATTTCCGACATTTTTTGCAAAATGTAAAAATTATGCCGTTTGCTGCAGTTTTTTATACCCTCTACCATACTATGGAGGGTATATTCATTTTGTCATTCCGTTTAGAACTCCTCGAAATGCTCATGTCAGACCCAACAAGGTATTTATATTCTTGATCAGCGTAAAATTCTTAGACGATTTAGCCGTGTCCGTATGTCTGTCTGTCTGTCCGTCTGTATGTATGTCTGTTGTAATCACGCTATCGTTCGAACCTGAGATAGAGGGCTAAAATTTTGCACACCTATTTATTTTGCCAGTAGGCAGGTTAAGTTCGTAAATGGGCCATGTAGGTCCACGTTTTCGTATAGCCCCCATATAATGGTACCTCCTGATATTCGGTATTTTGAAGATTTTAGCTACATTATTCACCGGAATTGTTTCAAATTTGGTGTTTGAAGTTCAAAATGTATACTACAGCCTAAGACAGAAAATTGTCTATGCAGGTCCACGTCTTCGTATAGCCCCCATATAACGGTACCTCCCGATATTCGGCATTTTGACGATTTTAGCGATATTTTTTACCGGAATTGTTTCAAATTTGACATTTGAAGTTCGAAATGGATACTGCTGCCTGAGACAAAAAATTGTCTGTGCAAGTCCACGTCTTCGTATAGGCCCCATATATCAGTACCTCCTTATATTCGGTATGTTGACGATTTTAGGTACAATACACACTGAAATTGTTTGAGATGTCGTTTTTGAAGTTCGTAATGGAAGCTACAGCCTGTGACAAAAAATTGTCTATGCATTTCCAGGTCTTCGTATAGCTCATATATAACGGTACCTCCCTATGTACGGTATTTTCATGATTTTGGCTACATTATACACCGTTTATTTCAAGTTTCGAATTTGAATATGGTAATGGCTTATGACAAACAATGCCTATGTATATTGGGGGCCACTTCGTATAGACCCCAGTATAACGGCTATATTCGGTATTTTTAAAATGTTAACAGAATTTTTGGCGAATATTATATTTTTCGAAAATTTTCAAATTCGTTCTAAATGGTGGAGTCTATTTAAAATTTGGCCCGGCCGATTTTACTGCTTTTTTAATTGTTTTATTTCACCTGT